CGCGAGAGTTCACTCCTCCCGACACAGAAAACAGGAGGGGAGGAGTCAGCTGAGCACAGAGAGGGAGAGAGACGAAGTAAACCAACAAGCAGGAAAATGAAACTTATCGTCCTCATTTTTTTTACCGATCTCAAAATAACTTATCGTGCAATTAACTGATTTATTGACTATCGCGACAGGCCTAAATACACAGATAGACTTTATTTCATTCAAAGGTCTTATAAGGTATTCTTTGTGTTTTTGTTTTTTCTCAGATGTGTTGGCCAGCCAGGATCAGTCTGGAGGGGACGCCACTGTCACCATTGATCAACGTAAGTGTTAACGTCTTTTAAAATTCTTAGCTACAAACTGGATTTGATGTTTTGTGAGGCTTTCACAGCTTTTCTTTGCAAATTTATTAACAGCTCTTCATTCACACCAACAAAATATATTTATAAAGAGAACTCCAACCTGCTGCTGTTTTGACTCTGTTGGCTGTAAACCTGCACACATCTGACTGGTTTCCTCTGTCTCCCCAGCTGTGCAGATAATTCCAGCACAAGTGAGCACACCTACAGCAATAAAGGTGCTGAAACAGAACCGTGGTGCCAGGACACCACGCATATCAGGAGAAGAGCGCAGTTCACCTGGAAACCGCACAGGTAGCACACACAAGCTCTGAGCTGCTCAGTTAAAACAGTTTGTCCGCGGGTCCTTAAATAGGCTTAAATTCACATATCTAAAATTAAGTCCTTAAAAGGTTTTGAATTAATAAAAAAAATGCGCAAGTTGGTTTTAAATTTCTTACTCAAAGGTTTAAAATTTTGTCGAAAAGAAGCGATTAAAGTTCTCCATCTCCCTCGGCCGTCTCTGCAACGCATTTCCTGATAGTAGGATGAGGGGAAAAAACAACTTGTGTTGTCGGTTAACGGACGTTGCTTTCAACCAATAAAAATTTAGTTATTATTCACCGTTCTTTTATTCACTGTTCTTATAACCAGGCAAGTCCTGTTGAGATCTTAGATTTCTTTTTCAAGGGAGGCCTGGACCTGAAGGCAACCTATKGTACATGTTTTGCTTAGGAGAGGAGAAACTGAACATTCTGGAAAAAGACATGACATAAAAAGAAGCAGAGTCACAGTTTTAGCCAATTAAAGCAAAGAAGGGCGTGTCCTGCTGTTTGTGAGCAGAATCAGAACCGCTGGCGAAGTAATTAATTTTGTGAATTAAATCAAATGAACATGTTTTGTGAAGCCCACAGATATGCTCTAACTTGTTCAAGGACCCCATAATAGGCCATCTTTAAATTTGACTGGCTAAAACCCTCAGATACCCTGTAAAAACATTTGGACGGTTACATCCTGTTTGTGTGGTGGCAGGTAACAATGGTCAGATCCAGTTGTGGCAGTTCCTGTTGGAGCTCCTGACAGACAAAGATGCACGAGACTGCATCTCCTGGGTCGGTGAAGAGGGAGAGTTCAAACTSAACCAGCCGGAGCTCGTGGCACAGAAATGGGGTCAACGTAAGAACAAACCAACGATGAACTACGAGAAGCTCAGCCGAGCCCTGAGGTTGGTTTCKTCTCATATTTTCATACTTTATTTGTTTTAAACATCAGGACTCCAGTAACTCAGTGTTATAAAACTTTTGTTAATTTAGGGAAGACCACAAGTTAAATTAGAACACGTAGGTTCATACTGATATGTCAGGGGCTGCTAATAGCCTAATAAAATGTCACAAAAGTGAGCGCACAGTTTTGTATTAACAGTTGAATAAATCCTGTCCAAAGCAGCGGCTGCTGGAGTTCAACAAATTGAACTTTGGCTGCTTGATGCACAGCAGCAACCAATCGGGAGAGAATATTTTTTTCGCGTGACGGTTTCATGAACCCGACACAGACGGACAGGAGCGTTTTTAGCGGAAATCGACCGTCTGCAGTTGATGTTCTGGCTGGAGATATCAGCACCGATGTGAAGAGACAGCAGCCCGTTGAGCTCGGGACAAAAAAAAAAGTCCCTCAGCTCGCAGCTCCTGGAGTGGCGAAACTAAACCGCCTCTGGTGAATTAATTATCTGGTGTGCGCAATGTTCTCTTGCTCTATAGTAAATAAAACAAAGCCATTTTATTTATTTTATCTTTATTTCACCCATGATTAAAGACAGACCGAAAAAAAACAAGACCCTCCTCCCTCTCCTCTAGTCTGGTCCCGGTCTGGAAAAAAAAAAGCTCACAGGTTAGAGCGCCTCTTATCTGGTGAATTAATTATCTGCTGTGTGCAACGTTCACTTGCTCTTTAGWAAATAAAGGCAAAGCCWTTTTATTTRTTTTATCTTTATTTCAATCATCAACAGACCGGAAAACAAACAGACACTCCTCCCATTGCGCGTCTTCAGACGCATTCGGTATGAACGGACATCTGTTGACAAGCAGCCAAAAGYATGCGGCAGGAGCAGTTTTGCTGCTGAAGACACGTTTGGTGGAAACCAGGCTTGAGAAAGTAGTTGCTGAATCAGCATTTACAGCTGATTACGTTTTGGTGTCAACCGGATTAAAGATGGCTGCCACATAATTTACCTTAGCAAACAAAAAATAGCTATAACTCAGTCAATTACAGATCTTAAGCTAGAATTTGGCATGGTAGTAGCTGAGAGTTGTCCCTGTCGTACACTCAGAGTGCTTACAGATTGCCTAAGATCTTTGTTTAAACATTTAACATGCAAGGTGAAGGTTTGTATTTTGCTGCTAGTTTTAAAGATWCAGGGTTTCAATGAAAGGCTAAAATCCTTCACTCCGTTACCAAAAATGTGTCGTGTGACTCAGTAATACACCGTTCTGATTTTCTTGTAGGTATTACTATGATGGTGACATGATCAGCAAGGTGCAGGGCAAGCGCTTCGTCTACAAGTTTGTGTGTGACCTGAGGACTCTGATTGGCTACAGTGCAGCCGAGCTCAACAGCCTGGTGGCCGAGTGCGAGCAGAAGAAGATGACTCGCTTGCAGATGCATGGCCTCTCTCAGCCCATCACCACAGTGACCCTGACCACCACCACGCTGGAGAAGGACAGCTGAAGGAGGGCATATTCACGCTCTGCAGCCGCCATGAGGAAAGTGTGGTGCACCACTCCCACCTGAAGTCAGAAACCACCCCTGGTCAACGTGGGCAAAGTGCTTTACTGTCGTCTTCCCAGTTTTATCCAAGTTAAACTGAGGCAGATATAATTTTTAGCTTTCTTTAACTGGACCCAGCAGGAGCGCAGGGWGTGAGAACGTCTTTACGATTACAGGTTGTCATTTTCACGATGAATGCTTGAGCGTGACCGAAAACCCAGTTAAGAGCTTGGTGTCGTCTGTAGTTTAGGATCTTTTCCACTGTAAATACCGTTACTTTGTGTTTTTGATAGCCACATGGACAAGTGTATTTTCATATTTTCCATTTCTAAAGAAAAAAAAAGGACCCGTTTTTGTATTTTTATTTGGTGTCCATTTCCTAAATTGCTGGACCTTTTTTTTGTCCACTAGGGGGAAATAAAGTGACAAGCATTTTCTAAACAGCTTTGTGTGACGTGGAAATTTAATCAAGCCTCGTGAAGAAAAAGAAACCAACCAGACATTAATATGTACATTCAAACTTTATTTATTTACGGTATGTCGAGTGTAGAAAGCTCTAAGCAAATATTTCATCAAACTACACACAGGGGAAAAACATTTTCAACATTCACCTGATTAAGAGCTTCAGTTGGTGTCTGTACACTTATTGAGGTGATATGTGTTGTATTTTGAGAATGCAGATTACGCATGTCACATTCAATGTTTAAGTATTAGAGTTGAACGTGTCTACTGAAGTCATAGGGTCACTTGTTGCCTTTTGAAGGCTAATAGACTAAAGGACAAATATGCAGGCAAAGAAACATTAACCTTAAACAGAAGCACTGTACATGTTTACACGGCAAATGTAGAAAAATAGAATGTGTGACATTTAGTGAGGGAATGTAGGTGAGCCATTTGGAAAAACAACTCTAGGCCCGTTAATTTGACTCCTGCTTTGTTGCGATAAAGCTAAAGGATGAACAGGAAATGAAAGCAGCAGAAATAGAAAAAAAAGACCATCAACCAAATATTTACAACCAAGACAACAGAGCGATAAATTCAGCATACGCTGTCCTAAATAAAATATCTAAAGCTCAATTTTGATCCTAATAAAAAGTGCAGAGACAGTTGGCATCGAAATAACGTTCATATTTGGTGATCATAATCAAGACTTCAAAAATGAGTGCATAGAACGCAAACAGCAACACAATCATCTTCCTTTCGGATTCTAGCGCGCTTCGTATTTTACATCCGAGAGCGTTGAGCCCATGCAGCTAACACAACAGTGAAGCATGGAGATGAGCAGAACAGAGTCAATTAAAGCCAAATCTGTGCAACCACAAAGCAGAACAGATTCTAAATCCTTTTTTTTTCTTCTTCATATCACAAGATCACAAAGAAGACACAAAGAAATATACAATCCTGCTAAAATATCTAAAGGAGAGGAAAGGACCCCCTTCATCCATCCTCCACATACAGGATAATTTTCAGTCATCAATATTACCATGCACTACATTAACTTACAGCTAATCTCTGTCTTAATGTATTACACATAAAAAAACATTAAATATTTCCAGTTTTGATATATTTTGATTGAGTATAATATATATTTTAATCTTTTTTTTTCTTTTTTCTTCTTTTCTGTAAAACATACTTAAAACCCTTCAGTCGTGCAGTGAGGAGCTCTGAGAACCCGCACCCTGGTCAGTTTAGAGCTGTTGAGTGTTTTTTTTTGTTTGTTTGTTTCGTATAAACAAATGGGTTGTTCCAGTACAAACACCTGTGATTGGCTGATAACGTGCAGGTAGATCAGGGCACCCTTGTCTAACCAGTTAATGGGGTACTTTAGATCTGTACAATCAAGCAAAGAGAAAATAAAAAGGGGATAAAAGTTTTTGTTCCATTTCAGTTTCCTTTGGCCCAAACGTTTGACTGAAACATGCAAAGATTTATTATTTCTTTAAAGTGAAAGATGAAAATCAGCCTCTGCAATAATGCCTCACAGCCTTACTTCTCTGTGAACAAGGTGAGAAACTGAAAAGTCTAAGTGCTGGGGGGTGTGGGGATGGACCAGGAAGGGAAATATTGGGAAGCAGTTTTTTTTTTTAGTTCTGCATCTGCTCAAAGAATTTGTAGGTGGGATTCTCGTAGCCGTTCTGTTGCATCTTGGCCAGGTGGCGCTCCTCTGGCGTCACCGCAGCGTCCACCTTCAAACACCGGAGGAAAAAGTTCGTAAAATAAACATTTTACAGAAACGAACACAAGGCTGCATAATAATTTACATTTTTTACCTCAATTACACCGTGATGAATGGAGGTGTACTGCTTCTTCCTCAGCATCACCAAAGTGATCACAATGATGGTGGCGATGACAACTCCCCCAACCATTAGCCCAATAATGGCTCCCTTGTTAGAGCCAACGTCCTCAGCGAAAAAGACCTTTCATTAATTAAAAACAAAGCTATTAACAACTGAAGAACTGTGTTGCTGTGTTATACAATATTAGAAATAAACTTGTATTAATGACAAAAAATGATTTTCAAATAAAAAATTCAATATTAACTGAGTTATTTAAGCAGTCATGAACTCTGAACTGTACCAGTTTCTGATGGTAAACTTCATATCCTGCACTCTGCCTTTCTTCAGTCTCCATTCGAACCTCTGGCTTCAGGGCAGAAACTGAGCAAGCAAACAAATCAGGTGGTGAAACATGCTGTGACAGCATGATGGCATGATAAATCCTAATAAAAACAAAAACACTAACTGGATTACTGTTTTTAGAAGTTTTACGGGGAAAGTTGTTTACACGTGTTCACACATGATGTTGCATGTCGATGCCATATTTGTTGTGATGGAGGACATGSGTGGTCCCCAAATTTACAAATCAAATTCATTTTAAAACATTTGTAGATTATTTTTACTTTAAATAAGACAATAGAAAAACAGTTGCCTTAAAAACATCCTGTGGTTGATGAGGTTGTTTGAGAAGTCAGTTCACATTTATGTAATAATTATCATTTGTGTGAACAGTTGTAGTTGTGTCTGCCTCTGAAATGTTTGGGAATCATAGGCGTACACAACACAGTGAATAATATAATCATTTAGTCATACTAAACTGGTAGTTTGGACTGTTTAAATACAAATACTAGTGTCTACCAAAGGCTTTATTGCAAATAGTGTCCKTTTTAACTTAAAGCAGAGTCTTTGAAGCCAAATAAAGTTGAATTATCTGTCACGTGTGGCAAAAAAGAAAGACAAATCTGCAGTTAGACAAATCTCTGAATTTGGGAAAAAGTGAAACTATAATTGATGGTAGTGACAGAAGAACTAGTAAAGTTATGACCATAAGTATCTTATACAAAATAAAGCAACAATCTATCAAACAGCTATTGGAAAATGTTAAATGAGAACAAAGTGGAGAGATCCTTAGAGTGAGCATTACCAAAAGGTCGACACTTACAGTCTTATCATGGAATGAACTCCGTTTTAATCTGCGCTCCAWTAATAACATTGTCTCTTTCAAGACACTCCTAAAAGATCACTTTTTCTCTCAAGCGGTTAGCTAAGAATTTCACTATTACTACCAGCCTACCTCCATTGTGAATGCTTCGCTAATCTTTGTTTTCTTTACTATTGAACTTACGTCATATTTACTCTCCCGCATTCAWTATGTTTTTGTGTATTACTGTATGTTTTGACCTGCAGTGATCTTGTGTTTGATTTACAATTTTAGAAATTAATTCTTGAGTTGATGTTCAATTTTTGTTGCTTATGTGTAATTATGTTTATCTGTTTCATTTTATTCTTTTCACCATTTTTATATGATTGAATGATTGTACAGCCCCTTGTGAATATATTTCTGTGAAAGGCGCTTTATAAATAAAACTTTACTTACTTATTTCTAMCTATTAAACTCTAAACCACTCAAACTACAGCAAACTTGAAAACAATGCTGTTTCAAAGTGAGATCTGATTAGTAGCACAGACTCATACCAGGTCGTGTTGGGAGCCCTCTGTCTGGATTAGGCCGAGCATCAACAGGCTCAACTACAGAAAACAGGAATAAAATTAATGAAAACGAATGTACAGTATAAAAAGCAATGACCAGTCTAGTTGAGTTAATAGATATTAGAAAAGATAAAACTGTGTTCTAGTGTCAGAAGTGTGTGTTACCATGGTTCTCTGTGTTTGGCTGGTTGAAGCTCTCTGGGTGAATGAAGCCCAGTCCATCCAGACCAGGATCCAAAGGAGCCGAGCTGTAGGTCTGATCGGGCATCAGAGCGTCGTTCCCATAGCTCACCCTGCCGTCCACCTGCAAACAGAGTACTTTTATTCAGGACATCCTGAATCCTGATGGGTATCCACTCATAAAAGAAGGAAACACTGATAATCTGAGATTAAACTCCACAGTAAACAGTCCGTTTAAACCTGAAGACCTTTGAATTTAAAATACTAAGGGTTGAGCCCAACAGATGCCCTCACAATCTGACAGATGTTGAGCACTTTGGTAAGAAATCGTGAGTAAATATTCCCAAATCAAGGCGTGATCTGCTGAAAAAGTCCTTTCTAAAAAAAACTGAAGRCTGCAAATAAATCAAAAGGTGCACAAGCTTACAACATCTGTTTCCATTTTAAATCTTTTTTCCCTGCAACAKATTTATTTCCCACCATGGTTGAGTAACAAAGACACGTCACAAAAAACATGGAAAAAAGTTTGAAATCGTTCAAAATTATCTCATTTTTATATCTCACCTAAAAGTTGTTTTCCACATGTATATTGGATTTTTCCTAATTCTGACCTCCTAAGAGCTTCCATCTGTAACATATCATGCTTTTTTTTAAATTCYTTACTGCAACTCCTTTGCCAATAAATGGACCACTTCCAACCACGTCAGCATCTAAGTTTCTGTGCGCATCGTGACTTTGCTTCAAGTGTCATTCAGAGGTATTTATATATGTGTGTGTGGGAGCAGCTTGACTCACCCGCCCGTCGCTCTGCAGGGAGGAGACTTGCTGAGACAGCTCGGACTGAACACGCTGCACGATAATTGCTATGAAGAAAAGGGATAAAGTGAGAACTGCATGATGATGAACGGGGAGCAGAAATATGGTGGGAGTGAGTGAGAGGACAGAAAATCAGCACACCAGGTAACAGCCTCACACACTCCTGCTTAATGAAGGCAGCTTGAGTGTAAGAATTTGTGTGTGTTTTTAAGGTGACCTTCAAACATGGTGTAAACATTCTTCACAAGATTGGTTCTTTCAAAAAGCAGAAATAGACCAAAAACTGATATGATTTCAGCATGAAGAAGGGTATTTCCAAACATGCTGGAATGCATCTAAAACTCTTCCAGATATTTTCTCCCTGACATGGCGTCTGAGTCATCACTTTTTCTGTAACTTCYTGACACAATCACTCAAGACGCTGCAGTCTTGAGTGATTGGTCTGAGCGGACGTACACTACTTTCTCACCCAGATGTCTTTTTGTGCCAGCTGACTGAAAGGCTTCTACGTCAGCCTGGCATGAATTCATCTACAGGAATTACTCATATACACCACAGTTTTAATACTATTTTCAAGAATAAAAAAAGAATTTTCTATAGTTGAATTCAGCTGAAGGCTAACTCATATAGTCTTGAAGTTATTAAAAATTTTGGAGTAAATCTTTTTTTTTTTTCATTAGTGAGAGGAAACTGAACATGTGTGGGGTGTTATTTGTAACATGAAGACAACTCACATYTCTCAAGAACATCCTAACAGAGTCACCTTTCAATACTTTCCTGCCTGATCACTTTCTTCAATGTCTATCAAATGGTTAATTCTCAGAAAACTGGTGGCGCCGGTGCATGGCAGCCCCGCCTCTGTCAGTGTGCCCCAGGGTAGCTGGGGCTACAATGTAGCTTACCACCATCAGTGCATGCATGGGTGAATATCTGAAGTGTAAAGCGCCTTGGGGTCCAAGTGGACTTGATAAGGTGCTATATAAGTTCAAGCCATTTACCATTAGAGAACTGTTAACKTTATCACTATTTCCTCTGCAGAACACAACATAGGCTTTTACCACTTTGACAATCGTACACATTTATTGATTAACCTTTAAAATTTTGACTCAATTCTTTATATTTAAACATTAAAACTTCCCTGATGTATTCAGACAGCTGCATAATTTATATTGCTTGTTTTAGGGTTCAAGAATATCTCCATCTTCTGCTGTTTATCTGTCAYTGAGTTACAGAAGCAACAGGTCCAGCTCCAACTGGGGGATCCTAAGGCATTTCCAGGCTTAGGAAAATCTCTACAGCGAGTTCTGGGTCTCTTGTTGGAACGTACCCGAAAAACCMCTAAAGTGAGGCGTTCAGGAGACACTGAGATAAAACCAAATGCTGAAAACAGTTGTGCACAGTTTTGAAGTTTAGATCACTTTCTGCTGCAGGTAAGACACTGATTACTGACCCCTCTCTCAAAGCAGCCAGGATTTGTCTCACTGGGTGAGCTCATGAAATCCTTTAAAAATATGAATGAAAACTTACCAACTTGTTTTTGGATGTCAGAAGCCACACTGGGCACCTTGTAGAGCAGACCTAACGACTGATTCATCCTCTCRTCAATCACACGAAGGTGGGTCAGAACCTAAAGGTCAATTAAAAAGGTTCAGTTCCAAATGCTAATTTTGATAAATTAGTTTCAACATAAAGGCTTAAGACATACAGTATATTATTTCTAGGCAACATAATTATGTGTTCAGTTTAAAAAAAACAAATCTTTCAGCACCTGGGGTCGGATCTGCGCAGCCTTTTTAGGATCGACTGTGCGAACATGCTCATAGTGTTTCAGCGTGTGCTGCCTGTCCTTCTGTTCTGCACGGACATACTTCTTCAGCAGGCTCAGCACCTGTCGGGGCTGGTGGCGACAGAAACGTTAAAGAGCTTGTTTTACCCAGAGTCGCCTCAAAACGTGCACAAGTTAACACATGTGTGACACTTCTTCAACTCTACACCCAGTCTGTCTTTAAACGTGATTATTAATATTGTCTAACTAAGTAACTGTGATGTGTGCACATTTTAGTGTGTGTGTGTGCTTTTTTTTTTGTTTGTTTTGTTTTTTACCCGTGGAGGGTTGGCCTGCAGAGCACTCAGGTAATTCTCTAGAGCCAGGCGTCTGCGGCTGTTGAGCAGAGCTTCCACCCGGGCCATGTGGGTCTCCACCAGCTGCTGTCGCTCCTCTGCTGCCTCCTGCTCCAGAGCCTCCACCTTGTCCTGGAAGTGCTGCACATAYAATGAGACGGAAAACAGAAAATACACATTTAGCAGGAAAACCTGCTCAAAAAAATAACATAAAAGTTCATTTTTTTTATCAGTTCCAAAGAGTACTGACAATATAATTATACAAAAACATTTACAAAGCTGTTAAATGACACTGATAATTTATCTACAGAAGAAAATTGGTGATCTATACCTGGATGACGACTTTTTTGTCAGCACGAGAAAGACTCTTGGATTGTCTCTCTGCCTCCTCCCACTCCCTCATCACCTGAACATTAATGCAATTATTTTCATTTTAAAATCCTTTCAATCCTGACAAATTCAGCTCTGCTAAAGATAAATGTATTTTCTTGAAAACAATRGTTACAAGGAGATGTTTAGAGGTAAAGACCACACACCTGGGACATCTTTTCACGATGTTTGGCCTCGAGGCTTTCTTTAGCCCTCCTGAAATCTGTGTGTTCGTTGTCATCTCCTGGAGATTCGAGGTACTGATCCACAGCGTCTGGAGGGCTGGGGGCCACAGTGGGTACTGGGGGAGAAGAAAATACAGAGCAGAATGTCCTGAACCAGAAAGGCTAAAGAGCATGACGAGTTAAAAGGATGCAGAAAATAACAAAAAAAAAAAAAAAAAAAAAAAAAACAGTGGGTCAAACATATTGCAACCCTCAGAGGCAACATTAAAGAACTCTGTGATAAACGAGTGTTAAACACAGAAGAGGTTAAGACATAAAAGGAGATGTGTTTTTAAAAAAGAGCACATTAAGCATCATAAAACACACACAGGTTAGCGGAGGACAAAGAGGGAAATGTTTCCTAAAATAAGGGACCCATGCGTTCAGCTGTGCTCGCTGTGGGATTCTGGAGATAAGAAGCACCGAGCTGAGTCAGGATCAGGGTGGACCGACCTGCTGAGCAGTTCTCCTGATGGGAACAAACGAACCGACCTGTTAAACCTTTTAGAAGAGTTTCCTCTCCGATGCACATAAAAACACTCAGATGTATTCAACAGACTGACAGATTCACAGCTGCAGAGGCGGACATGAGACCTGCAAACCACACAACAAAACATGCAGATGCTCACCAACAGAAACACATGCTGACACACAAAGGTCAGAATTCGCACTTCTTTTTCTTCATGCTGCAAGAAGCATTGGTTAGTATTTCTTGTTCGAAATGACTTGAGGTTTGCTACTTGTTTTTGTGAATCTGTTATGGACTGCTGGCTTTACACAATGTTTTGTCTGTTTTTTCCCACTCAAACATCTGTTCAAATATCACCAACAAAATGGACGTGTTACAAATAAGATTACTAGCTAAATAAATTTTACTGTCGGCAAGTCATACAAAACAATAAACTCAACAAGTGGATTTCTTGAATAACTATTCATTCCTACAGCTGTTTTAAACACCTATAATGCTTATAGTTACATTGTTTTATAAGTTTGTTATTACAGTCAACACGTGTGCTGCATTTTTCTTTATAATAATTCTGCTTGGCTAAAACCTACAATAGTTAATAATAAACAGTCTACAGTTGATATTTCATCTATTCCTGTTTGCTCAAAACTAGTGGTGAACATTTTGAGAAAAGAATATACAAAACAATTTAAAAAATTACCTGAGGCTAGATGAGGAAATTGGCCCCATTCACGTTTGTCAAATATGTGCTATGTTATTAATTCCTTTCTAAAGCAAAAACTAAAATCAGTAGCCTAACGTTCTGCACTCATCGTCTCCAAACAGTTGTTCAGATCTAAAGACTGAAATACGTTTTATTTGCTTTCTGTCACATGGATGACCTGTTTAGTTGTAGTAAAAATAAACTTCTTGTATGAAAGTGATCATATGTTCCGGTCTTTAGAGCACAAAGTTTCAACCTGACTGATGCTGAGATACTGGACCAAGATACTGAACAGTTCTCTGCCAACCTCATCAAGATAAATGGAGAAAAACACCCGCTTCGGATGTTATCATCCATTAAATGGACGTTATTAGCCGTTATCAGTCCCATWGAATGGCTTCAGACTGTCCTGACTGTGCCGCCTAGTGGGTTCTCTGTCYCATCGAATGGTTTCAGACTGTCAGCTGGTTAGTATGAGGCATAAAACCACTAAGGWTTTTTATGCAATCTGGTTARTATGAGGCATAAAACCACTAAGGATTTTTATGCAATCTGGTTAATATGAGTCAGAAAACCACTAAGGCTTTTTATGCAATCTGGTTAGTATGAGGCATAAAATCACTAAGGTTAGTTTTAGAGAAAATTACTCCGATGGTAGCAGTTTGTTGCATTCCAACGTATATGGCACTGGTAACCCACTAGGGGGCACTGTCGGGACAGTCTGAAGCCATTCTATGGGACTGATAACCACTAATAACATCCATTTAATGGACTGMTRACATCCGAACYRGCTGGAACAAACCGACTGGTCTTGAGACTTGTATAACAGATGTAAAGGTCATAGCATTTCAAAGATAAGGTGAAGGCAGGATGGAGGATGTTGAGGCTCTCATGCTYCACACAAGACTAGAATGGATGCAGCTGAATACAGTTATCAGGGCTCTAAGAGGCATCAGAATACAAGAGACAGAAAGTAATGAGACGCTAAACATTCAGCAGGARCCTGAGRACAAGAAGCAGGCTGGTTAGATGGACACATCAGGGTTTRGCTCCAGTCCGGGGACTTACACGAGCTGCTACAGACAGCGAGGCAGTATTCCTCCGACTCAAAGTTATTCCTGTTGCCMGCACAGCCCCCGAATAAGAAGGGGGCGCAGCGGCCCTTCTCGGGATCGAAGTACCAACGCTCCAGCATGGCATGACACGGGCCCGACTCCGCGCGAGCCCAACACACCGCTGAGGTCGTGTGCACAACAAGTAGATTTTCATTAAATGTCAAATGGAAGCTCTGCAGCTGGTTGGAAACTTCAAACTGACAAGCCTAAAACCAAGAGTGAACAGAGAACAGATCAAAGTGCTTTACCTCGCACGACCTCCTCCACYGACTCGGTGGTGGTKGTGGTAGTGGTGGTCATGGCGATGTTAGCGTTTGGTTCATCGTTATCCCTTTCGTCGATCACATCGTCGTCTTCATCGCCATCTCCGTTCTCGTCCCTCTCAAAGGCGTCGTCATCTTCATCGTCATCTTCGTCGTCCTCGGCGATGGCTGGTCCTGTGTCTGCTGGGCGGGTCATGCTGCAGAAACGAGAGCAGCCATGTTTTTGATACCGCGTGTGTGCGTGGCATCAGAAATAACCGTGTGTCACGGGTGATACCTGTTGTCGGTGTATTCTGCATCAGCTCCGCCCCACCAGACGTCAGACTCCTCCCCTTCCTGTTCCGCGTTGTCTGACACGCGCTCCGTCTCTGCTGGACAGCACACAAACTCCACCCCTCGGAAACGGTCGATGCCACATGGCAACAGCATCCCGTAGTCATGGAGATTCATTGAACGGTCTCCACAGGACTAATTCACGAAGAAAACAAGAAAGAAAATGAAGGAATTTATTATCACTTCAGTGACTTGCATATAAACATCTTAAAAACCCCTCAAAGATTTTAATAATTCTGACTGCTCTTTTA